AAGAGTAAGGAAATGCTCAAATAATGATGGAAACATGTTAAAAACAAGCAAGAGTCAGCTTACATCATTCAAGTCTAGTGGCCAACTCTGAGTATCAACAAAGTAACAATAGCGATAGATGATAATCCATAGAACAAAATAGGAGACTATGAATGTAATATAAATACAACATAATATACTGATATAAGTAAATGGATGAATAATGTAGACTAACATTAATATAAATAAGTTAATGAATGAATACGATTATATGACAGGATATATAATATAATATGATAAAATATATAATAGCTACATTATCTACAAGGCCCCTATTCCTCACCGTACACAAAAATAAACTCAAGATGGATTAAAGACTTTATTAAATGTAAGACATGGAACCATAACAATTCTAGCAGAAAACATAGGAAAAACTCTTTTAGACATAGGCCTAGGCAAAGAACTTATGGATCAAGTGTGGGGTCCAATAGAAGTAGCAGAAAAATGTACACTCTGGCCCCAGCTCTGTTTGCTCCACTTTTGGGGAAGGTCTGAGGGCTGGATGTCTTAGCCTCAGAATATTTTTGGGGTCACACCGTATCTTCCAGTTCAGGATTCACCATGTTTTCCCATCATGGCTCCTCAGCCATCTAAATTTAACCCATTCTAATCCATGAGTGGATTAATAAAATGTGGTCTATGTATACCATGGAGTTCTACTCAGCTGCAAAAAACCATGGTGAACTAGCACCTCCTGTATTATCCTGGATGGAGCTGGAGCCCATTCTTCTGAGCAAAGTATCACAAGAATGGAAAAACAAGCACCACATGTACTCGCCATCGAATTGGAACTAATCATTCAACACTTATGTGCACATATGGAAATAACATTGCTTGGAAATCAAGCAGGTTGGAGGGTGAAGAGGGGATGGGTAAATTCACACCTAACGGGTACAATGCACACTATTTGGGGGATGGGCTCATAATGTTGACTCAAACGGTACAAAAGCAATTTATGTAACCAAAACATTTGTACCCCCATAATATTCTGAAATTAAAAAAAAAGAGAGAGAGAAAAAATTTAACCCATTTTCCAAAACCCACTTTATGTTCCACCAAAGCCTTTGCCAGGACCTCCAGGCGATACCCCATTTCCCTTTCTGTTCACCAGACCGAGACCATCTCTACAGTGGACACAAGCAGAGACCACCCAGATGAGAACAAGCAGAGGATGCTTAGTCAGCAGTTGCTCTTCCAACGGAGTTGACCACTGTCCCTGGCGTTTGGCAGAGACCCAAAGGCAGACGGAAGGGTAGGGAATATTTATAGTTGAACAAAGGAAGGTTCAGATGTGCCCAGAGCACGCTGTTGGGGTCGAGAAGCTGGAAGTGGCTCCCAGAAATGGGGTGTCCTATGGGATTGGTTAGGCGGAATATTTGGCTTTCCCTGGCTGGTCTCCCACTGGAAGCAGGGATAAAAATTAGAGAAGCTATCAGTTATCCGGTCTCAAGTCCTGGCCTGTTAGACTGATCATTCCAGATGTAGTTATTTGGCTGCCTCGGTTATCAGTAGAGACAGCAACCTGAGTTATAGCAGACTGGTCTCCTGGGCTGGTCACCAAAGATGGTGGGCTGGTCTCCTGGGCTGGTCACCAAAGATGGTGGGCTGGTCTCCTGGGCTGGTCACTGCACATGACGGCTGGTCTCCTGGGCTGGTTGCTGCAGGTGGTTTTATTATTTTTAGAGCTGTTTATCTGTATATTCAATCTCTCGATACCCTACATTTTGACAACCTGATTGCAACCATTTGGGAGCCCACTGCAACTTCTCTGCACGCTTCATGACAAGTGTCCTTGCTCTAATCTTCTTTTTCCAATCCTGTCTACATCCCTGAACCAACCCCCACACCCAGCCCTGCTCCGAGCATGTGGGAAAATGCTCAGGAAACACATGCCAAATGGGTAAGAAATGGGAAAACAGGGACCCACCAGACTCTTTGGTCAAGACCTCCTTATGGGACTCCGGGTCTATCCCAACTTCTGGAATCTGAGGGTCACATGGGGGGTGTAAATATTCTTTGGATTCTTAAGAAGAAAGCCCTTCTAGGGGCCTGAGGTGTACGGAACGCTTCTGCTCTGTGCTGGCTATCATTCGCAACATCACTGACCACAAAACAGCATTTATTAAGTTTGAGCCACAGCTCTCTGACGTAGAGAGTGGAGATATCAGTGAGAGGATCCCAGAGTCTGGAAAGTTCTGGCCTTTCGAAGAGGAACTTAGTCGTACGCATCCCTCACTGTGGACGCCCACCAGGCTCTGGAAGAGGAGGGAGGTCTACAGCTCAGCGAGCATCGTGTCAGATCTGTGGGAAACGTCAGAGAACATCTCATCGATAAAGCATGACACCGGTGTGTTCCAGCAAGAAAGCAGAAGTGTTCTTGTGGCTAAATGTCTCCCCCGCCACGATGAGTCAGCAGCTGGGGCAGGACACAAGTCACTCAGACTTTAAAAAAGAGAAAGAAAAGGAAGTGGCTTGGGTCCCTGTTTTTGCTTTGCCAACTGCCCAGGTTGGACTCAGCCATTTTTGCTGAGCCACTGATGGCCACATGGCGTGGCTTAGGTGAGGAGCCACTGATGGCCACATGGCGTGGCACAGGTGACGAGTTGAGGAGTGTCATCGGCGTCCTCAGCTGCACCATTCGGGGAGGGTGGGAGCAACAGTTTGGAGGGCTTCCCGCCAAGCCTCTAAAACATTTTTAGGTAGCACAGTCTTGATCCCGTGGGGGACCCTTGTCGCCATTGGCCCCCAAGAGAGTTCAAGATTCGCGAGTCACTTGCATGGATCTAGGTGCCGTCCAGGACACAGAAGGGGAGTGTGTGCTCACCCCCTTGTCCTCACCCCAGCCCCCTGCCTGGAAAATCAAAATTCACAATAAGAGGCTTAATTTTCCCCGTTAAAAACAAGGGAAAAGACTTTCCCCGCCATTTTCCTAGAGGATTTATTTTAGAAAACTCTTGTACGTATTTTTCCTCCATCACTTAGAAATGCATGTAAATCCTTTCAACAATTAAAAACTTTTCGCCAGATTTAGAACTCTGCAATGTCTTTCTCCAGGACCTGGGGGCCTACCGGGCACACTGGAGGAGACAGGACCCCACCTCCCAGTTTCTGGAGACGAGACCTCACTTAGTTGGCCCCGGGCTCCAAGCTGCGAGCCCGCCTCCCTTCGTAAAGATAGAAGTTTATTTTTAATTTGGAGAACGTTAACTAGTTCCCACAGATGGTCGCTCCCATTCTCAGGTGCATGCAGGATGAATTACGTGGGACAATGGGTTGGCAGGTCCTTTTACGTAAGGACCAGTTACTGTTTATCCTGAAAACATGGAAGGAATGGGTTGTGTCCGCTTAGCTCTGCGAAAGGGCGAGATTTCTCTGTGTCTTCGCGATCTCCTTAGCGGGTCACCCGTGATTCTGGTGTGACGCTCACGTCGGAGCTTAGCACGTACCACCCCCAAAACAAGACTGCGTAACAGCAGCGTACGCCACCCCACATACGACCGCAGGAGAACGGGCTACGCCATCTCCAGAATAGACCTTTTTGATGTATTTTGAGCCGGTTATTCAGTGGGGGGCTGGGTGGCCCCTGCCGATGGGGATGGGGTTGATGTGAATGTTCCAGAACTAGGGAGAGGTGGGGGGTGCACAACTCTCTGAACAGACTAATAAGCACTGAACGGTGCGTTTCAGGTGGACGAATTGTAAGGCGCGTGAATTTTATCCCAATACACCTGTTACCAAAAACAAAAGAAAAATCACCTCCTGTTTTGCTGCTTTTGCCGACCCTGGGACTTATGTTTCACTCGTAACAGAGACTTTAGCTTCTACTGCTGACACGCAGGGTGGGATGTGTGAGAACAGAGGCTGCTGCGGCCAACGTGTGGGCATCTCACGGATGCAGACACAGAGAACCCTCGGCCTTGTGGGAAAACGTTTTTCATTCTATAGCCCTCTCCTGTCCTCCCTCTCTCCCTGTTTCCCACTCTCTCTGTCTCTCTCTCTGTCTCTCTGTCCATCTCTGTCTCTCTGTCCATCTCTCTCTGTCTCTCTCTCCATCTCTCTGTCTCTCTCTCTCTCTCTGTCTCTCTCTCTCTCTGAAAAACAGGTCGGTTGCAGGAATTTTGCAGATGAACAAACTTGCAAACTTGGGTGTCAGACATAGGAAGCTGCATCATTTCAAAACCAGGAATTTCCATCTAAATTTAAATATGTTTAAATGCATGTGTGTGTGTGTGTGTGTGTGTGTGTGTGTGTGTGTGTGTGTGTAGGACAGGCGGTTAATCACAGTAATTTGTTTTAACCAGCTTGGGAATGCCAAGAGACTTTGCACCCAAGCAGTGTTGGGTATTTCGGAGGGGGCAGGGGGTATCGCGTGAGGTCACGTGGAAAACCACAGAACGCACGAGCTTTATCATTTCATTCCGACTCCTCAGGTCCCTGCGCGTCTACGCGGGATGACAGACTTTGAGTAGCCTTTGCAACAATACAGAGAACAAGGCGTCGGTCGGATATAAAAATCTTTGAATTCAATCATCGGTTTCATCCGTCCCGGAGGCGAGAGCAGAGCGCCAGCTTCTTAGCTCTGCCGACGCAAAGGCAGGTCCCCGGGACGGGGTCAGGACGGCCTCCGGTTTTCAGCAGTTACGCAGCCGTAATTTGACGCTCGGATCCACACGGAGCTATAAATGTCAACTTTGGGGTTTTCTTCTCCTACTTTCTCTTTGTCCTTCCCTCCTTCTTTCCTTCCCGATCAAACTTGGTGACCGAAATGATGGCCCCTCCTTACAACTTCAGCTACACTAATTACATCCGTCCTGCATTTCCCTCCGTGCGCAAGGAAGCCGGCTAACCCCAAGGGACCCCGTTTAAGAGGCACGACAAGGCAACCTGTGGAGATGCCAATGTCACCTGGGACAAGTGCACCCCTGTCTCCTCCCCAAGCGGAAGGCGGTTCCGGGTCCATATCCCATTGCTCTGATTGTCGATGTCCACGCTGCCCTTCAAGGGAAGCAGTGTGAGCTGAGTTCTCAGGGGGTCCTGGGAGGGCCACTGCCCTGTGCCTCTCACCACCGTCCTCCGCTGCAAACTCTGATGGGCTCCGGACGGGATGTGCCAAGCTATGTCACCTTGGCGTTTGAGAAAATCAGAAGGAGGAAAGTCCCCCTGCCTTTCTCCCTGAGGTAGGTCAGACACCCAGGAAGGACGCTCTGGCCCTCCCCTGTGCTTTTCTCTTTTTGGGTTTTGTTTTCTTCCCCGGGTACAGGGAAAAGATACTTTTCTTCCCCTGGGCCTTGCCGTCGTCTGAGAGGCAGGGACGGCAGCCACCTGCGTTTCACGGCTGGGTTTCCGGGACCAAGTCACCGCCCCGAGATCACAGAGACGCACACAGATGGTGGCTCCCGGCAGGGGCCCAGCTCCAAAGCTGTGTGTGCTGGGAGGGGCCCCCTCCCAAAGGCTGTCCCACCTTCCGCTCCGACCCAGTTCCTATTAATAATATCCTTTTCCGCCCTCATTTCTGGGCACCCCCCATTGGAAGGCACAAACCCAGCCCACAGCGATGGCGGCATCCGTGAGCACGGATTGGTACTGCAAGAAGCCGGTGGTCTGTGCGTGAGACATGGCCGGCCCCGCCGCAGCCAGCAGCCGGTAACCACCCCGCACGTCTGTCTCCTCTGAGATTTCCCCTGTTTTTATTTCGGCCCCAGCCGGCCGTGGATGCATGAGCGTGCTTTGGGCAAGCACATCTGGTTATGCCCTGCCAGAGACAGCAAATGGCCCCTGATGGGAATATTCTCAGAGGGCCAAATGTAGTCACTGTGTCTACACTGTCGGGCTGGAACTAGGTCCCTTCTGCGGGGACCTCACACTCCCTGCCGTCTATGCCCTGGGGCGGCTGCCCCCCTCCCCCCGTGACGGATTGATGGACAGGTACCCAGGTGACAGATTGATGGGTTTACGACAGGCACCCCAGGCTGAGGGCAGGACAGGGACTTTTGTTGGGGACTTTTTTACAGCCACGCACCCTTGGGAACTGCTACTCCTAGGTACTTAGTGCAAAGCAATTTTCAGACCTCTAATGACAAAGCTCTGCTCTGTTGAAAGCAAAGCAAACAAACCACGAAACCCTCTCGTTAAAAAAAAAAAAAAAGCAACCCTCAGCGTTTCTCTAAGAAGTTACTAGAAAGTCTTGGAGGGGGCTCGGGCTCCATTTCGGGAAGCCTCGATTTGGAGCCTGAGCTTTATGTGCACTGCTGCTGACCGGTTAGATTCAACTGGGTCCAAATCCAGTGTCTACACTGCATGTTCCCCGATCAAATTCCAAGGTGGGCAGGATGAGTAGCTAGACTATATAAGGAGCTCCAGCAACCCAATAGGGAAAAAATCAAATAATCCGGTTAAAAAATGTGCAAAGGATCCGAATAGACATTTCTCAAAAGGAGATGCACAAACTGCCAGCAGGTATGTAAGAAATGCCCGACAGCATTAGTTGCAGAAATGCAAATAAATACTACAGTGAGATACCACCGCACCCCACGTAAAACGGGTTTCGTCAGAGAGGCAGGCACTAGCGAACGCTGGAGAGAGGGGAATCCTTGCACGCTCTCGGTGGGAATGTAAATTAGTGCAACCACCGTGGAGAACGGCATGGAGGTTGCTCAAAAAACTGAAAATAGAGCAAGCACGTGACCCAGCAACCCCACTGCTGGGTGTATATCCAAAGGAGGGGAATTCAGCGTATCAAAGAGACATCTGCACTCTGATGTTTTTGTTTTTTTTTTAACTTGCCATTACTAATTTATTTATTTTTTTTATTTCAGCATATTATGGGGGTACAGATGTTTAGGTTACGTATGTT